GTCTTGTTGAGGACTAGTGGGTAGATCAACCAAGGGTGGAAGTGGTGGGGTCTCGATAAGCACGGATTCATTCGTCCTTGACGATTGTGAGGTCACGGATGAATCGATCGGCTGAACGGTTGGTTCGAGAACCGCGTGGAACAAGGTGCGTTCATCGTTCTTGTACCCCAACTCCTCTGGCTCGCATACAATAACAGTGTTGTCCCCAGCCGCATCTGCGTCACTCTCAGAGGTCATCTTGCTACCAACAACGCCTAGATCCTGATTCAATTGGCTAGCCTCGGTATTTGGGGTAGTCTGACGCCGTTCCAAGTTTCGCACCATCTCCTGGACACGCCCAACGCTTGAGCTTGTGATAGACGAAGTAGACTGAGCACGGGAACGACCGGGATGCGGGGAAGTGGCATTTTTCAGCGACTTGTCCGATTCAAAGCTGAGAACTGAGGAGCTTCGAGACAAGTAGCCCTCTGACTGGTCGCTAGAAGCTTCAGGCCGAGGCGAGGGAAAATGAACGGGTGATGTAGGCGCAGAGATCCGCGAGCTTGCTTCTTCGCGCTCTAGCACGGTGCTTGGAACGCGTCGGCCGTGCTCGCGGGTGGACCCGGTGCTAATATCTTCTTCAGGTCCAAACCCCCAGATCCGGCCTTTCAGCAGACTCTTGCGAAGCTCCAAGGAGGACGATAGAAGCGCGATTCTCCAAAGTTTGTTGACACCCAGTCTTCATGTCGAGGCGTTCAAAATCAGTCACGGGCAATTTGTACAGACGCAAAGATCGCTTACTCTTCCATATCCTTTTCAGCCAGACGTAAAAATACTCGACCGTTGAGTTTACACTTGACCACAAAGTTGGCGATGTCTTGGGCTACGGGCTTTGGCACGAGAACAACTTCGCTAGATTTGGAACTATTAAAACGGAGGGCTGTAAGAAGGTATTGGGCGAGTTGGGCGGGCGTCCACAGTTTAGGATTGTCCTGTGAGCTAAGGTTCAGTTTCACTCATACATTACATCGGCGCGATACACACAGGCAAAGACGGAGCTATTGTCCCCTCGTCTGCGGACAAATGTAGAGGCACTGATTTGGCGTGCTTCAGTCTCCATTGCCGAATGACTGCCTCAACTCGGTCGTCGGAGTCCTCCTTGTTGCTGTTATACCCTGGATCGATTTCGCCTTTAGGTAATGGGAGGGGTGGCGGAGCACGCTGAGCGTTGAGGCTTTTGGTATGCCGGTGCCCACGACTTTGCGAGTGACGCCTTAGACTTGGAGTAGATGGAGAGGTAGCAATTGGGGTTGGCGCCGAAGTAATTGCGGAGGTGGAGTTCGAACGTATGTATCCTGAGGAGAAAGAAGTACGTATATAAGGAGGCGGTTCGCGTCTTGAAGCTGGAAATGGAATGCCGGGAGACACAGGGGGAGAAGGGGGTAAAGGCGGGTATGATTCTGCCATGCTTGTAATGTTCAAAAGAAAGGATTTAGATCGTGAGATTCGTGCACGGTGTCGTTATGTCGTGAAGAAAATGCCAGAAGAAAATGAATTGGCAGAGCCGTGGCGCACTCTGTGGTGGTGGAGTGGCTAATGAGGTAATGAGGTTGGCCCCTATCCCTCGACTCGTTTGGCGTTATTTGGGCGACGCCACTCTCCGCGCACGTGAACTAAACCATGTCTGCCTCACCGGCACCTCCACAACACTACATCGTGGCAGATGACGATGATGTCAACGACGAGGATCTTCCTAGCTTTACTCGGCCTTCAGTACACGGGGAGACTGTTCCCCTGACGCCTGCAGGTAGAACACCAATGGAACCAGTAGTTCTAACCCCCAACCCGGCCTTGTCTGGCAACATTGGATCTTCAAGCGGAACTGGAATACAAGGGCGTCCTAATAGCACCAGGCAGCAGTATGGAGGTGTTCGAGTAGAGACTAGGTTTGTTCCCTTACAACCGCCGACCGAGTCTCTGGACCAATCACGCACGCAGATACTCTGGTGTCGACACGCTTGATGAACCTGTGACCGCTACCATCGTGAGTGCGCTAAAACTGCCAAATTCTGCGTCTAATCAGAACACAGGCTCGAGACTTATTGTCCATCTACAGCAAACTGCTTCAAGTCCTGTACCCCCGTCGAACTGGCGCTGGTAGAGAAGTTTTGAGGTCCGTTAATGGTGGCACGCTCGTTCAATTGACTTACCTTTCCGGGCGTCTAGGGATTGGGACTTGTGGGGACCCCTAATTCTTTGCCTTGCTCTTGGGATCCTGTTGAGTGTCAACGTAAGCGAGCATATACGAGCATTCGTTTGTGCAAATAATTCTAGATTTATAGGCACCACCCACCCAATCTCTGGGCGTTTTTACAGGTGTTGTGGTCATCGTATCCGTGGGTTCCCTAGTCGTTACCCTCAACGCGAAGCTTCTGGGAGGTCGCGTGTAAGTCCAGCTTAGTCCGAGACCAGAGTACCCAACTCATGTCTCGAATATAGCTCGTTGTTCCAGTCCCTGTGCGTCCTGGGTTATTGTATCTTCCCGTTGGGTACGCAGCTTTTGTCCCGATAAATACCTCTGCCTAACAAATACGACAGTATTAGCAGCAATCATCTCCACCTTTGTCCGTGTTCTCTATGTTAGAGCCCCCATCGCCATCGCAGCCTGGGCTTGGTGTGTTTGGGGTACGTTTTCCCTAGCCTCTGATTGATCTGCACTCAATCAGAAGTCTAGCTGCGGTGAATTTTCTGGACGGCACAAAAATAGAGCAGCAACGTATTTTGCTTGCAGTGTACCCTCTGCTGTAAGTCCCTTGCTACCACCCGTACTCGGCAGTAACATGAGCCATTTGTTTAACTTAGGTTGTTTTACTTTCTGCTTGCGTGGATGATTCTGATCCAATGAAGAGGCTATGCGTTCCATGTGATTACTATTCGAGTAATCTGAGAATGCCAAGAACCCGTGCCCAAGCCTACCCACGCTCTTTAGAGCACCGGTCTCGTCGGGACAGCTTAGACGAAGCTATGTATGACGCGCATGTCTCTCATTCACAGTGAGCAGGCCGCAGCCACACGGCTGGAAGTTATAAATGGCCTGGCCCCACCCCCGAGTCCAGAACTCGCTTGAATATTCCCTTGCACAATGGCTTCCGAGTCCGTGGCCACAACCGAGGTCACCACACCAAACCTCGAGCTCGTCTTCAACAAAGACAACCCTTCGAATTGTGTCCTTGCACCGTCTAATGGTTCTGGGCCGTGCTACTCTGCCGTTGCCAAACTACGGAACGGAAAGGACATGGTGACTACCTACCGTAAATCCCAAGACGGCCCGACCGACGACTGGGAGGGCGCCCCAATCATTGCGAGTTTGGAATGGCGCGAAGTGTTTAGCGATAAGCTTGCCTTCGCTGGAAAACCTCCCGTCAGTTCTGGCGATATACTAAAAAAGAGGATGTTCTCGACGTTAGTATCGCTCTTGCATGTATATCTAGGCGCTAACTCGATTTGTAGCACCGTGTCTTTTTCGGATGATCAAGGTCGCAAGTATGAGTGGCGAGGATACGGTGCTGGGCTTCAAATGGTTGTAAGTAGTGTTGGGTATTGCTAATATCTCGTGCCTAAAGTACCCGCTAGTTGTTTGAAAAACATGGAAAAGAAGGGATTGCCGGCTTCAAGAAATCCCGCCTTGATCACACCTCTGGTGTCGTCTCTCCCGCGGTTTTGACGCTCAGCCCACGGGCGGCCGAGATTGCCGACCTTGTGGTTATTAGTTTCCTTGTTCTGGAGAAACAACGCAGGATGGACGACAACTCGTCGAATAACAAGGCGGATGCATTCACATCCGCTGACATCGGAATCGGAAATGTCACTGGTGGAGATAACATCTACAAACACGGTGTCTAATACACCTCCTGTAATACCTGAATGTCACCTTGAAGTATCGGGTTCATTCGGTTGTATTCCAAGTTTGGTGAACTATCGAGTCGCAGTCTCGAAAATGGCCGACTCTGCTTAAGCGTTGAACGTCGCGCACAGACGGAGGCAGTTGATTCTAGGCAACATCAGAAAGCATTTTATTGAAGAAACCCAAAGAGTACACCTCGGAGCGGGATCAAAACACTTGCAAAGAGGTCCACATCTGAGCAAACCTATTATTTTTGTGATACCAGTACCCTATTTCGGGGGAGTCAACATCAAATAACCATTTGCCTGCAGGTGTCACGAAAAGGTTCCCACGCTCTGCTGATTATTTTGTTTCTTTTCCACTGGAATTGAGCCATTTTTGAATGGGTGTCATGGGAAAAGACTCGGGCGCCTTTGTCACGTGACCACCACTACGGCGCTAAAGAGGAATTGGTTCAAGTAACTGTCCGATACTGTCGGAACAAACTCATATAAAAATGTGTAAAAATTATGTTGTCCTTATGCAACATCATTCACACCTCTCTGTCAAAAATCGTTGCATCCCATAAGGTAGAACGCACATAAAATGCTACTAAATGAATCTAGATGCTTTCCCTGCATCGGATTCTACACAAAACAAAGTCTAAAAAGAGTCCCTCAGACCGGGATCGAACCAGTGGCCTTGGGATTACGTAAGCAGCCTTTACAGTCCCACGCTCTTCCAACTGAGCTACCGAGGGTTGAAAGTAGTCCAAACCAGGCAATCAACACCGCCACCTTAATCAATGCTGTTATAACTGCAGCAACTAAAAGACAACCGAGTTCTGGCGTTGTGAGCCTTTTGGACGCCTGGGTAAGTTACTACCGGCTCCTGTTTTCTAAATACATGCGCCGCCTAAGTTTCACATGATTGCTTCGGTTAGCCTCTTGAAGCACGCAATATAAGTATAAACGAGTGGTAAATGCATCGCATTAATGTACATGGCAGACATACTGGCGAGTGGATAGCTGGCCTGAGTTGCCATGGAGAATACTGGTAGGCTAGTGACGGGGTGGGAGGGAAAAAAGCCAAAAAGAAAGTAAGGAAAATGAGGAAAGATACAAAATGAAAATTATTTGGTGCATTTAATTGCGCGTAGAGTAGCGTCAGGTGGCTTCAGTATCGATGAGACAGGAAGCACGGTTGCTTTGTGCCTGCGCATGAGTATATGCGCGTATGGAGTCACGTGACGTCTCCCGGACCCCCTGTTCCCTACTTGCTAGTTCTCTCCATAACTTTGTGCACCCACTTGTTGGGTTTTCTCTGCGTTGGACCTTGCGGCTTGGCTTTCTGATCTGTCGCTTCTCTAGCTGACTAAACACGTATTCAAAAAATTGAAGGCCACGTGAACATACCCGCTCGTGCGTGGCTCAATTCCCGCTGCCTCCATCGGCTGCGAGGCAGACCGTCACTTGAAATCGCCGAAACACACGAGGCGAGCCACTGTTGACTATATAACATTAGGTACGCTCATCGATCCCAGACCTGGCAGGTGCCTACAAACATGGTGCGTAGTACCAAGTCCACCAGCTCAACCTTCCCCTTCGTCCAGTAGGAGCTTCAATCCCTGCGGTCGTGAAATTCCTTAGAACGTTCGCAAAGACCTAGCTTGAGCTTCGCTCTTTGCTCTGCCATAGCCTCAGCATATACCGAATCATTGTACCCCTGCATCTTTTCAGTGCGATCATAACCTTTCTTTCTCGCATTCAACCCAAATATTCTTGATTTTGTATGCACATATTGATCCGATCATTTCGCTCGTCCAAGGTCTTTCAACCGCCCATCAACGACTGGCTGAACCACCACCAGATCAATCTTGCCCTTTGGCGCCATCGACCCAGAAGGCTTCCCACACCTTGCCAGTGCACCATCATACTTGTCAATATCCGTCATGTGCTCCTGCTGTGCGATCCGGAGAGCATCGCCAATTTCATGAATGGTGTGCCCGGTTGGCGCACGTTGACGCTCAAAGTTGATGATCATCTCTGTGGCTTTGAGCCAACGCTGCCTGGCCTTGGAGAGTGTGCTTGGAGTCGTGGAGGAGAGAAACTTGGGTGTACTGGTTTGTTGCTGGGCTTTGAATGTGTGGATGTATTGCGAGCCTATAGGTGTCATCTCAGATGGCAGAATTCCAAATAAGTTCTGCTTGACCTACCCAACAGGTACCTCCGAACAATCGAGCTCATAAGAATCCCATTTTCGTCATCAATTAGGTACTGGTTCCCTTTCAGCGCTTCGTAGCCGTCGTGCCCGGAGGCCATGTACTCGCGTGTGACAATTCGGTACACTTGGCTGGCATCGCGTTCGAGCGGTCTACTGTTCCTGCTCTGAACCGAACCATCCGAGGAAACTTCTTGTTTTGCGATCCAGATACCCTTGACCCGCTTCCCGGGTGCAAGTCGCGAGTCCCACTCGACACGGAATCCCGATACGATGGGGAAGCGTCTGCACCTAACATTAGCTTTCGAAATAGGCCGTCTGGTGAACGTACCCTTCTTGAGCCGGCCAGGTCGACAGTGCCGACTCTAAAGCATTCCAGATTGTTTCCCCATCCAGGGCTTGAACGACTATGGGGTCTTCGAACGGGAGAATCTCTAGTAAATCTCCTAAGGTAATATCACCTGCACATATACCTTAGTTTGGCGGCGTAGAAAATGGTTCATACACGTACCAGGACCATACACAGAATCTCCTCGCAAGGTCCCGCCACATATTAACACGCCATCCGCAACGCCTCCTCCCTTGACGCAAAGTGCATCATCGTACGCATGCCTAAGAACGTCCGCCATCCAATTTCCCAGCGCAGACTGGGAAAGTGTGAGCCGACCGAGCGGCGTATCATTAAACGACTGACCTCGTCTGTTCGAACCAGATCCGACTTGGCATTCCATTCTGTGAGAGAATAGCAGATAGGATGGGAAAGTGAAGAAGACACCGAGTCGAGTTGCTTTTTGAGTACTTCTGCTAGAGAATAAGATGGCGACATGTCTGGCTGGACCGCCCTTCGTGCGCCTGTCACGCCAGATCAGGCTGAGAAACCGATTTATAATAGCGCACATACCGCGAATAGATTTAACTATTTTACGACGAATGCTACCCTCGGGCGCATCCTCTAACTCCAAAGTCATTTCGCTTAAATCTCGAAAATCTGTGCCACTTTTGACAAGGCTAAACCCGAGGTTAAGCTTATACCAACAATCGATATTAGCCACTCACAATACCCCGTCGTCCTCTTCGCTGCCCAGACAGGTGCTTCCAAGATCATAGTTATCCCAAGACGCCGCCCCACGTCCAATGTAGTACCTTGAAACAGCCGCTTTGAATATTTGAGGCAAAAGGCGTGGGTCGAACCTACATGTGATCATGTCCCCCAAAAAGTACGTCAGCTCCGTGCGAGTTCACGGCATCTGATGACATCTGTGAATGTGCCATTACCGCTTTGGCCAATTTGATGTCCTGTTAAGGTCAGTAGCATCATGCGGTTTGTTTGATCATTCCCAATGAGCTCACATTCGGTAGTCTGGACTACAAAGTCAGTAAATCGATCACCGAAATTTCAAAAGCGAGCAGACCTTGCATGCGTGAGCGCCAAGATAATGTCGCATTTGTGTGGACCATTCGGATCGCGGAGCTCTTCCGAGAGACACCTGGTAGTATCCGCCATCGACTGGTACTTGAAGCTGGCAGGCCATGAAGTGACGGTCGCAATCCATTCTCTACAGGTCAAGTTATACGCAGAGAATCTGGAATAAACTGAGCTATACGCACTCTTCGACCAACCCAATGACGCCAACCCGGACACCACCCCGTTCGAATACCTGGTAGCGCGTAAGTTTGTCGGGTGCGGTACCGGTGTCGGTGTCAATAATGTTGCTCAAGAGCCAGGGCTGTCGGAATAAGTCAATTGATAGAAAAGATAGAGAAGAGGGCAGAGTATACAAAAGTGCAGTCGTTTATGAGTTTGCATAAATGCGGGTATCCAAACTGCGAGAGACGGATAAGGGTTAGAACAATATATAATTAGCAATGTATCATGATCCTCACGTCGAAATCGTGGTTTCCTGGGCCGTAGAGCAGGATTTAGTTACATCTCACGGCGTTTATGACACAACTGACCTGTCAAGGCTACATCAGGCGCCATGTTGTTCATAACCGGAACCTAGGACGGTTCAGCTCCAAATTCCATGGATGCAGGTGGGTGTTTACCATGTGGCTACCCCGGGTAACCGTGGATTCCACACTAGGGCTAAAGAGGTCACCACTGAACAGCACTAGGCCATCACGTTTCCCGTCCGGGCGTTCACTCCAGCTATTGCGTATAGACTCTAAAAGTCCAGCAAATTGCGTAACATCTGAGAGTCCAAAGCCGATGAGCCTTCATCCAGGTCCCTGCAAGCTGGTACGTGCCCACCTATGGTGCCGCTTGTGCCTTGGATTTTTTGCTTAGTGACACGATAGACTGCCCGGTCGTGTCAGCTACAGGTTAATTTATTGAAAAACGCGTACCATCGTTGAAATGAAGCAGAGACAAGGTCGACATGTGTAACTCAGTTGGCGTGGTTGGTTGAGGGGATACCTATTTGCAATTGAGTCATATCAAACGCGTCGATCCCTATTTCAGCGACCACCATGCTCCGTGTCGGATACGTTCCCGAGCACTTTGCCTCGCCCCTCCTCCAGGCAAGTGACAATAACGCCGAGCCATGCTTAATCCAACATCCTACTAGTACGCAGATGGTGATAATGGCAAGACTTTTGCTCTCACTCCATTTCCAGGTCAGGCGCTCGACTAGCTCTTGGAATTCATTTGACAACCAAACAGGTGGAACTGGCGCCATGACCGCTGCTCTACAAAACAACGAGGTTGATGTTGCAGTGTGAGCAAAACCAGCCGAATTCGTGTTTTTGCTGAACATACTACGTCATACGACTCAGAGCATTGACGGATGCCCTGATTGCTGGGATCGCCAAAGGCTCCAAGGCATACAAACTGGTCGGCTCATATGTGCAAACTTCGTTGAACTGGTACGCGCGTTGGTCTGCCTTGTCATGTCCAGAGCCTTAGCCCCCACGCAGGGCGGTTATTACCGGAAAAGATAGCAAGTTCCAATCGATCGAGGACCTTCGAGGAACCAAAATAGGCATTTCGCGTATCGGAAGGTCGGCCATATTCTGCTATACAGAAATAAACTCAACGGTTCTACAGCGGATCTCAAACAATGGCGGCGGTGATGTACGTCTACACGATGTCTCTTTGATTGTACTCGGGTGGCTTATACAACTTTAGGGCGATGCAGAATGAATGGACTACCCCAGACGGAAAAGTCGAAATTCCCGAGTTTCAAGGTGAGATCTTGCTAAATGATTATGAGCTTGGGAAACTCACCCAAGACTTGACCAGTCAACAACGACCTGAAAGGGCTGAACGCTTCAGTTAATGATGGATCGACAAGGTAAGTGAATTTGGCTTCCCTTTTCAGGTTGCTAATGTTCCTTTGCCTCAGTGCTTTTCTTTGGGAATGGTGAAACTTCTTATACTGGGCCCACCCTACCTGCACTAACGCATGTGAATTGACCAGGTTCACGACAAAACCCCATGCAGACTCGGGGGAGGTTAGATTCGTAAGTGCCGACCCGGTCCTGTGTACATCGCAGCCCAACCACCCTTATAGATAGGTTCCGTACTTACCCCATGGCCGT